GATGAAGTCAAACAAGACAAAATGTTGGTGAAAAAATAAATATTATGGGCTGTAGGCAATATCTTCAAACAGGCTCCCAAATGCCATTTTCTACCCTCAAAAAGCACTAAATTTCAATTTTTAAGGGGGCTTAGCCCCCTGAACCCCCACCGGGACGCTGTCCCTGGGCCCTGATTTTCCTTACTTTTCAGTTTCAGCTGGTGGAAGCACTGAACAAATTAGCTCGTTTCTTTGTCAAAGAAATGCTGGAAAATTCAAGGAAAATACACTGAACTCTACCAAAGTACACACTGTATAAAAGGTAGGGTGACTGCCAGACCCCGGGAATTACCCGTGAATTCGATAAAAATCGCTGAGACCCGGGAATGCCCCGGGAATTTGAGGAAATCTTTAAATTTCCCCCGGGAAAAAGCCAGGACGACCCTGGAAAATTCATAAAGGGCTCGACTATTTCAAAAATCAAATCCAATAAGGTCTGTAAGTTCATTTTTGTCGTTCGCAATTATGACATTCAGACCTGCCACTCAACCCGATTTAATCGGGATATCCCGATTTTTTACCCCAAATCTCAAGCATCCCGATTTTCCCGATTTCAATCACCAGTATCCTGATTTTTTGTCGTTGCGTCTGTTGCGTCCAATTCTTTAAAAAAAAAAAAGTTCTGTTGTCTCTTTTGCTTGGAAGCACTGATTGGACTTTTTATCGGCAGGAACTTGGAACACTACTTTCTAAAGCATCTATGCCGAATCTAGTAGATGACTCACGCTCATTATTTCAACTAAAATCGACTTAGTATCGGTTTTGAATTCCGACTTGGTACGCTGAAGATCTACTTTCGCTTTTATAATCCAGAATTCTCCGACGGTGTCCTGATGACTGTAACAATAATGACATGGGGCCCAGTCGCATTGGTCAAGGTGTTTTTCGGAACTTAACCAGTTTTGACGACCGGGGGGAGGAGTGTTTTTTTTTAACGCTTGGGCTTAAAGTGCGTGCTGTGATACAGGTACTAATTGAGGGGAATAGGAAAAAAAAAAAAGAACAACCTTGACGCTATCTTTCTTTCGGGGGGGGGGGGGGGTGCCTTGAGTGTATATGCGATGGAAGTCAAACGTCGTTACTGTATGAAAACGCAGGCTTTTTGCATGGATGATTAGAGTTATGTGTCAGCTATTTTCAAGACTACGAGAGTTTCAGCTTTACTGCAACCTGCGCTCCCCCCAGTCTATCCAACTCCCACTCGAGTACATATATGCTGTCTTTCAGTTTTCTCTCTATTGAGAGGCCCAAGTGTGAACTTTTTCCTACAAAAGTTTTCTCTTGTATACTTTCCTCATAAAATGGAACCAGGACCCCTCCCTTCCCTAGTGCCCCTTATGACAGATTTACCGTTGATCCCGATTTTTTTCACCTGTTCCTGAACTGTTTACTCTAAAATCCTGATTTTTAGATTTCATAGAGTGGTAGGTCTGGATATTCATTCGGCTTTTCTGGTCCGAGAGTACGTTTCACGCGAATAGGCAGCTTTGGCGGCAGGCAGGAGTGTATGTGACACCGAGGCTCGATCGTGAAAATCAAGATCTACTTTCGCTTTCGTTACCAACCAGAACTTTGCCGGTGATAGTCTTATAACGCAACATTTGTGACATGCAGGTTGTGCATTATAAACGCTGTGTCGTCGCCGTGAAAATGAATCAATATTTGTCACTTGTGAAAAAAGAAAAGCAAAGCGTCTTCCGATTTTCAGCTTGTCGGGCTCGTCATCGTGACCAGTCTGAACCTGCACGCGTTCGCATCACATGATACGGCATCGTGTGAGTACCACGGTTGAGTTGTTGGGGGCGCCAAAGTTCTTTCGAAGTCTAAGTGTTGGGAGGTGTAGGACTCTAGGGAAGGGGGGGGGGGGGGGATTATTGATTTTTTTTTTAAAGATACTGGTGGAGAGGGGTGTGGAAGGCATCATCAGAAGACAAAAACTTAGAAGCAGATTGTTTTGATTAGAGCTCTCTAAGAGACTTCAATGGTAGACAGGGCTTGAATTAGGTGGAGAGGGGTGTGGAAGGCATCATCAGAAGACAAAAACTTAGAAGCAGATTGTTTTGATTAGAGCTCTCTAAGAGACTTCAATGGTAGACAGGGCTTGGGTTAGGTGTTCAGGAGGGCAGTCAAAAACTGCCTTGGTGGTGCGTAAAAGTCCGAGGGCACCGTTGCAATTTGCTAGGGCACCAAGGCAAAAATGACAGGTGATCATTTTGTTGATTAAAGTTGGTAATACTGTATCGTGCATCAAGTTGATAGAAATAACAATACAATTTATTCTTGCTCTCTACAAAAGTATAGTTGTCGGAAAATTTTTTAAATCATGAATGAAAACTAAGTAAATCACAGTAAAATCACGCCAAAATAAAAGCACAAAAAAATCAGTTTTAAATCAAATTTATGATCACGATTGCATCTGCCTTTTAAATGCCTTTATGACTAGTTCTTATTGATTGGATTAATATGAATGAATTCACTGACCTGCCACGGTGGCGAACCCGACAAGACGCGTGTATAACATTCTTTTCTTTTTTTTCCACAAGTGACAGCACTGGGTAAATATTGATTTATTTTCACGGTGACACATTTTTTTTAACCAAAAAAAAAAAGGGCACGGCAAAAATTGCCTTTTTTTTTCCCTAACTGGCTGTTTTTTGGTTTTCTTTTGAGGTTGTAAAAATGTGTTGGGAACATTTTTTGTTGTTGTCACCAAAGAAATTGTAAACAAATGTGAGGAAGCGTGGTGAAATCAGACGCTCGTCAAAATAATGAAATTGAAAAAAAACTGGCATTTTCTCGCCAGTTTGGCTATTTTTATCCTTTTAAAAATGTTTTAATTTTGTTAAAATTTTCATTTCAAAAACAGCCAGTTAGAAAAAAAAAAGGCTAACAGGTGCTTTCACGATAGAGAAGAAGGCAGAGTAGGTTTTCAGAAAAATCTGGCCAAACAGACGAACCAAAAATCGGGATACACATAATCGAAATCGGGAAAATCGGGATGCTTGAGATTTGGGATGAGTGGCGGGTCTGCAAACCCCGTTACAAAGCCCCAGCTCTAGCACTTTGTATTTGACTGTAAACTTGGTGTAAACTTTGGGACTGAACATTCAACAGCTCTGAGTCCACCCCGTCCTCCCCTAGAACCCCAAAGCTGGCTATTTTTATCCTTTTAAAAATGTTTTAATTTTTAAAAAATTTTCATTTCATTTTTTTTTAGCCCATCATCTTTTATGTCCCTTTAACTCTTATCCTGCGTCTGTGCCCAGATGCGTATCTTATCAGCAACCGATTACGTCGGACTCGCCGGGCAGGCCGCCGGGGTCACTCATAGTGTACTGTTGGTGTACAGCGCGCGCGCCGGGAAACGTGTGTTTTCGCCATGAATACCGCGGGAGTGTGTTAACTGATGATGAAAATAACGCTCTATCCTTCATAGCATTCTATTTATAAAGTGTTACAAACACATGAATAACCCCCTCTCACAAGCTGATAAGACATTACGAGTAGTTACGCCCATTTGAATAACCTTTCTGGACGCTCTTGTTGTTATGAATGACCTGAGGTTTGAAAAAGGATAATTTAGGTCAATTTCCGAATGTTTTACACTCAAATTGTTCTTTGTACCTGCACAAGGGTATTCAAAACTATTAAAC